AATGTGAGTGGTCAAAGTGGCCAAAATCAAAATTCAGAAAACTCACATACAGTGCGTCCCCATAGTTCACGTTCAGTATGTCAGTCGAAATCTAGTTTTTTCGGTAGTGAAAATTGTCATGTTTTATTAGCCACTGCCTTCGTACAGGTAATTAATAATGATGGAACTTTTTTGTCGGCTAGAGCAGTCCTAGACAATGGATCTCAAGTATCTATTATGACACGGAAATTGGCAAAACAACTAAGGTATCCAACGTATAGAAAAAATGTTGAAATTAATGGTGTTTCTGGCGCAGTACAATGCACTGAAGCAATTGATATTGAATTTAAGTCAACTGTTGACAAAAATAAAAGGTTTAAAGCTACATGCTCAATTACCGATTTCAGTAGTTGCAGGTTGCCGCAATTTCCAATTGAAGCCAGAAAGTTAGAAATTCCTAACAATATTGTCCTTGCAGATTCAAAATATTACAATCCACAACATATTGATTTACTTCTTGGAGCAGAGGTGTATTTTTCATTGTTGATTCCTGGTTTAATTAACCTTGGTAATGAACTTCCAGTCCTCCAAAACACACACCTAGGTTGGGTTATAGGTGGAAATTTGCCTTCTTCGTTAATTTCGAATTTCATTGCAAATTGTGATCCGTTTAAGCCGTTGTCATTATTTATCAGTTCAGATCAAGTTGATAATCTATTACAAAAATTCTGGACTCTTGAGGAGGTTCCTAAGGATAATATATTGTCTACTGATGATGAAATTTCAGAAAAAATCTTTGTAGATACTACCAAGTTACTTGAAAATGGTAGATTTCAAGTCGACATCCCTTTGAAATCTTCAAATGAAAATATGAAGCTTGGAGAATCATTTTTATCGGCCAAAAAACGTTTTAATTCCCTTGAAAAAAGGTTGATTCAAAATCCTGATTTATTTAGTCAATATTCTGAGTTCATTGACGAATACATAAAGTTGAGTCACGCAAGGTATGTTCCTCTGGACCTTAAAAATAAAAACAATGAACATAAATATTTTATTCCGCATCATTGCATAATTCGAAATGACAAAACTAGTACTCGTCTTAGGGTAGTTTTTGATGCATCAATGAAATCAACCTCGGGATATTCATTGAATGATATCTGTCTTAAAGGCACGGTCGTACAGCCTGAGCTTTTTGACATACTGTGTAGGTTCCGTATGTTCCGTTTTGCAGTTGTTACTGACATCCAGAAGATGTACAGGCAAATTATGATTAATCCAGACCATACTTTTTTGCAGAACATCTTATGGCGAAAAAGCCCTGGTGAAGAACTTTCTTGCATAGAACTTTTGACGGTTAGTTATGGAACCAATTTCGCACCATACGTTGCCACTCGTTGCCTCACTGAATTGGCAAATATGTATAAGCATAAATTTCCTACTGCAGCGAATGTTTTAACAAGTCAAATGTATGTTGATGATGCACTGTATAGCCTGAATTCCTTGAATGAATTATATGAATTACGAAACCAATTAGTTGAATTATTGAATTTGGGAAAGTTTTCACTTCATAAGTGGTGTTCCAATTCTCAGCAGTTTATGCAAAAGTTTAGTTCTGATTCTGAGTTACAAAACTATTTTTTAATTTCTGAGGGCATGTCTAATAAAGTTTTAGGTATTTTTTGGAATCCAAAGTTGGATTGTTTTTCTGTGTCTTTACCTAAAAATATTGATATCACTCCTCTCACTAAGAGAAATGTTTTGGCTGTCATTGCGCAAATTTACGATGTTTTGGGACTAGTGTCTCCGATTGTAGTGAATGCAAAAATTTTCATGCAGAAATTATGGCTGTCAAAGTTGGGTTGGGATGATTGTCTCAGCGAAGAGTTGAAATATGAATGGTTGAAATTTGCAAAAAATATTTTAGATTTGTCAGAGCTACAAATTTCGCGGTGTTTGATAGATAATTTGGATGATGTGAAGCGAATAGAAATACATGGGTATTCTGATGCCAGTATAAAGGCGTATGGTTGTGCTCTTTATTTGAGAGTAATTTATAATAATGACAGTGTGTCAACTAATTTAATTTGTTCCAAGTCTAAGGTTGCGCCGTTGCGCACACTCAGTGTTCCTCGGCTAGAACTCTGTGGTTGTTTGCTGTTAGCCCAAACTACAAAAAGAATTGTAAATATTTTTAAAGACTCTTTCAGAATTGACTCTGTTAACCTGTGGACAGATTCGAAAGTTTCACTGGCATGGTTGCAGTCACATCCAGGAAGATGGAACATTTTCGTTGCAAATCGTGTTTCCATCATACAAGAAAATAGTTCTAACTGTGTCTGGAGGTATATACCTACGAAGGATAATCCAAGTGATTATGTGTCCAGGGGCCTTTCAGCCCAAGAGTTACTGTTTAACAAACAATGGTGGAATGGTCCTCATCATTTAAGTAATCCAAATTTTAATCTTGATTCCTTTAAAACTAATCTCGTTCTTGAAAATCTTCCAGAGCAGAGAAAAACGGTTTTAAGTGCAGTGTCCAAAGCACATTGTGAAAGTCAATTGCATAAAATTTTAGAAAAATATTCAGATTTTTATAGGTTGCAACGTGTTATTGCATTCTGTTTAAGGTTTCGTCATAACTTGAGATGTCCAATAGGTGAAAGAAATTTTGGTTCGCTTAGTGTTGATGAATTACAAGAATCATTGTGGTTCATAATAAAATTTCTTCAACTAAAATATTTTTCTGAAGAAATTGAATGTCTGAAAAATGATAAAATAATTAAAAATAAAAAGCTACGTTGCTTAAATCCTTTTTTGGACAAAAAATGCCTAATGCGTGTTGGCGGGAGATTATCAAATGCTAATATTCCATTCTCCCAAAAACATCCATTACTGTTGCCGTCAAAATGTCATGTTGTCAATATAATGTTGCGAAAAGAACGTTTGAGACTATACCATGCAGGTGCACAAACAGTATTAACCAATTTTAGATTAAGATACTGGCCTATTGACGGGCTTAGGTCAGTCAAACGAATTATTCATAATTGTAAAACATGTTTTCGCTTTACTGCAAAGTGTGCTGAACAAATGATGGGTAACTTACCTAGGGACAGAGTTTCGATCTCGAGGCCTTTCCAAAGAGTGGGTGTTGATTTTGGTGGGTTTTATTTACTTAAAACTTCTAATTTACGCAGAGCTCCAAAAATCAAGGCATACATTGCCATCTTTGTTTGCATGGCAACAAAATGCGTGCACATTGAACTTGTGACAGGATTGTCAACCGAGCATTTTTTGCTTGCTCTTAAGAGATTTATAGGTAGGCGAGGTAATCCATCTGTGATTTACTCTGACAATGCCACAAACTTTTTAGGCTCCAGTAACCAGTTGAAGGAACTTCATGAATTTTTTAAGAGTAAGGAAAATGTTCATTCCATTGAAAATTTCCTCGCGCAAAATGAAACCCAGTGGAAATTTATACCTCCACGGTCACCTCATTGGGGGGGCATATGGGAGGCTGCGATTAAGAGTGCCAAGTACCATATCAAACGAACTATTGGTGACACAGTATTAAACTTTGAAGAGTTTAGCAATGTACTCACTTCTATCGAGAGCATCTTAAATTCAAGACCCTTCAGTGTTTTGTCTAATGATTCGTCTGATTTGAATCCATTAACGCCAGGTCATTTCTTGATTGGCGATAGCTTGGCTGCATATCCAGATAAAAATTTACTTGAAGTTTCCAATAATCGTTTATCTATGTATGAGAAATGTGTGAAAATCAAGCAACAGTTTTGGAAAAGGTGGTCTGTGGAGTACTTAAATAGGCTGCAGCATCGACCCAAGTGGTGCAACCCTTCACAGAATTTGAAAATCAATCAGGTGGTATTGGTCAAAGAGGACAATTTACCACCTCTCAAATGGTCTTTGGCACGTATCAGTGAGATACCTCACAGCCCAGACGGCAAAGTGAGGTTAGTTAAAATTAAAACCCAAGATGGAATTTTCTATAGGTCCATTACAAAATTATGTCCTTTACCTGATGATAAATCTATAACCGATTGTGACGATTCTTAATGTAATTATTGATTACTGATAATATTATTATATTTTATAGCTTAGGTTAAGGAGTTACTTGTTGATAGTTTATAATAAGTGTTTTAGTAAAAGGTGTGAATAGTGCTTTTCTCAGTGCGTTCATTTGATTTTTTATTGGACTTTTCATCAGAAAATGCCCAAGGCGGGAGTATGTTGGATTTTCTAATAATTATTCCTGATTTTGATATTATTATTTATATTATGGTGCAATCTATCCTTATTGTATTGGTTACAAGTATTGGTGCAATATCAATTCTCCCAAAACATTAAAAAACCCACAAGAAGGAACAAGTTTTTTAATATGCTTCTTCCCCCCAAACTCCAATAATGGACTCGTCCACACCTAGATATTTTAAGGGAAGCGCCATTTCTGTATAAATTCCTAGGGTAGTCGTGAGTTGGCTATCGCATAAATAGGTACTGTGCCCGCCGTATTGAAGAAGCGGCGTCGCGAAGTCGCGTCCAAATTTTAATTAATTAGCAAGAAATTGCTATTGCACAAAATACAGACAATAAATAAAAAATGTAACTTTGTTTATTGCCGATTGTCATCGTAATGTTTTGAAAAGTTAATACAGTCCACTTTTATTAAGAACAACCCGGTGTTTCGTAATTATTTTCTATTACATAACCTCTCGGGTAAAAATGAGCTATTGAAGCTTTTATGTGTTAACAGCAACCTTGTCAGGTTGAATACCTGGCGCACCTGCATTAATCAATTTATAAATGTTGTCACCGGAATCAGCAAATATTACCTTATTTTGGGTACTTGTAGCTATTTCCGGACTAAAACCAAGCACGAAAAGGTGTGTTTTACGATACAAATAATATATATTTATCTGTTGAGCATATTTATCAGATCACAATCGCTATTACGGGAGAACATCCAGAATTATTAATTATAAAACATGTAGAAATTTAAGCATTAATTTATTTTTTCAGTACCTAGGCTGGGGACCTTATTCTTATTCTTGGGGCTGGGGACCATGGTACTGGCCTTACACATACTCAACCAGAGTTGTATATTATCCTTGAGAAAAAAAAAACTGTTTTTTATATTATAATGATTTTGTTTATTAAAAAAAAAAAATGTGTTTTACTTCAGCGTAAATAAATTATTACGATATTAAATTACCTATTAGTTTTTTTTTTTACAAATTAATCATTACCTATTAGTTTTCAGATTATAAATGAATAGGCAGTGTTTACCTCAAATTATTTTTTATAAATTATTATTTCGTTTTATTACAAATAAGTGTTTTATTTGCCACAAGGATCACAGCTGCTTCCTCCCCCATGTCCTCCATAACTTCCAGATCCAGAATATCCACCAGAGCTTGCTCCAGCATTGCCCCATCCTGGTAATGGTTGATGGACAGCGTAACCTCCTCCTTGTGAAGATCCTTCACCCCTATTAGATGTTTGTATTGGTATATTACATAAAACTTCACACTTGCTTGGGTTAGTTCAATGAATAATGCAACACGAGGTATATCTGTGGTATATCCAAGAAACATTATGAAGGGCAAATACTGATGTAAGACATTGGCCAGGCTTTGCTTGATTTTAGTTTTCAACCAAAAAGGGCTGAACAGTAAATAAATCACCATTGGCACCCAGTTTTTTTTTTTTTTAATGGAAGTAGATCCCATTTTGGTTTTTAACAAAAAAATAGCAAGGGAATTATGTAGATTATAATGCCCGAAGGCGAAATTAGCCCCAGGGATATATTTCTAATCTACATAATCCCCTTGGTACATAAATAGCTATTTGATCTGAAGAGTTTCTATTAATACATCTTCATAACAATATACCTTTTGTTGCATTAATCCGTGGACATACTTGTGCGCCCGTATTGATTAAACTCGAATATCATACCTGTATAGTCCATCATCAAATTGTTTCTCTCTGTTGTCCGGTTGCCATTGTCCTTCCAAACCAGAACCTCTTCCACCTGGATACACTTGACCTTCTGCGCCACTGCCTCTTCCACCTAATAAAATTTGTTACGATATTAAATAGTTTCTAGGAAAGAGGATAGAGCACGATACACGTTTTCCAACTAATCTGGACATTATGGAGTGACAGCAAGGTAGCCAACTAGCCTTTACTGATTTACTCCCAACTTCAAAATATTAATGTTAAGGCAGTTTCTCATTGAAGTGAGATTATCCGCAAGACAAAAGGGGTAGTATACTATGTATGAAAATCAAAAAAAAAGTTGCTCCACATTATTCTATAGGCTAAATGGTGATAGTATTATAGTGAGATGGATAATAAAATATTTTCCAGTTAAGTGCCTATAGAATTAGTTAGAGAGAAACAAGCTTTAATTTGAATTTAGCGCCATAACAGCGACCAATAAAAATCGAGTTGTTGATCATTTGGCAACGTCGCACAGAACGCCATTCGACGGTTAAATAGATTCAACGACTTGTGAAAATTAGGTCTGTTCCGACACGTCGAAAACCGTCCCATGAACGGTTTAAAAACCACCTGTATACAAATTTTGGAATCTATAGGTTTTTTATGTTATATTTAGGATGACGTCATCGAGCAAGGACCGATAATGTTGTCAATGCCTATTTTTTTTCTTATAATTTACCAGAATGTCATGTGTCAATAATAGACCTATCTATTTTGCCATACAGAGGGGTCAAAATATGAAAACTTTATTAGATAAAAAAATACCTAGAACGCTTGTCGTTTATTGCGCATGATGAGGCAAAACGTACCAAATCATGTAAGACTTACATATAGCAATTCTTCCTTCTTATTTGCACCGAACTGAAAAAGAAAGAGGAGGACCGCGTGACGTGCAACGTATGATGCGTATTTGAAAATCGATTATTTGTCAAGCTACGTCAAGTTGAATATCAACGTACTTATATCCTTGTCAGACCACAAGCAATGAATAAGGACAAAGAAATACCTAGCATAAGGTTTAAAAGCAGGATAGTTAATTATGCCAAATCGACACATGTACCAGTTAGCCAATAAAAAGACATTGCCTCGTGTTGCGCGCGCATACCAGGTAAAAAAAGATAGGTCTATTCTGACGACAGCTAAAAATAACGAAATGAAAATGTTCATACAAGTCATGCAACCTCGCGTGCCTTTGCCAACCAAAAACATCTGAAATTCTCCTAATGTCTGTTTTTTATTTAAAGATAATTCCCCAAGTCAAAAATTTAGTGACTATGTTGGCAACACAAGCCTTTTCTACATGAAATATTTGAAAGCATTGACAATTTTCCATTGTATTGCCAACATAATGTCATTTTGACTTTTATCTTTAAAAAAAAACACAGTTTACTTTAAATGCGTTAAAAAGTACTTTTAGTTTTGTTGGGTTGGCAGCAGAAATTTACTAAATGTGACGTCATCCTAAACATAGCCTCAAAATCTTATACGCACCAATTTTTGGCTTTGCGCAAAATCGGGACGGTACATTCTACGGTTTCCTGCTGTGTTGGAACAAACCTAATGTAGAGGGTGTTTCAAATTCGAGCCACGTCATTGGGATCTCGGAGTCGGAAACGGTAAGAGATACAGGGTTGTTTAAATTAGGGCAAAATTGCGTTTGATGTTTAACAAAATGCCGATTTGATATTCAAGATATTCCGCGCAGTGTTGCCAGAGGTGGTACAATTGTACCAAACTTGGTACCATTCGCTTTGAAAAAGTACGCTGGTACAACATTGGCATATTTGGTACAATTTTAATTTTTTTTTTTTCCAAATTCTCAAAGAATCTTAGCCTACTGCCTATAGTCTAATGTCGATGTTCTAATTAATTTGTATTTCTGTATCTAAACCAGCGCTGTGTGGGCGGGCCTTTAGTTCCGGACTAAGGGATTTCGGCCCTACCAGTTTAACGCTACTTTTGTTATCAAATTTTTAAATATTTAACTGGGTACTACTTTATCAAATATTTGCTTTGTTTGGTTTTCATCGTAATTTGATAATTTTGCGTTTTAAATGGCATCCTACTTTATCTCACCCATTTGAGGTTTTTTTGCAAACGTATACTACTTTATTGTTGTCTTTGTCTTACTCACATATAATTATTAACAATTAAACATTTTTTTATTAAAATTAAACTAAAAACAAGTTTCCAAGACCTTATTTCGGAAATTTATTATTTTATAATCGTTATTATTTAATTACCTATTCAACAGGTTTTAATTAAATTAAACTATTTAAAATGTCATTAATGTCATGCGGCAACGTCGCTTTTAGGGCGGTTATTATAAAACTGCTTTGACAGTTAACTTGAAGTAAACTTTTTGAATTACGTGTATTTTCAGAAGTTAACTTTAAGTTAACTCTCAAAGTAGTTTTATAATACCCGCCCTTAGTCGGCCATTTTGACGTGTTTACGTTTTTATCCAATTTTTCCTTGGATTTTCCATTTTTCCAGGGCGTTTTAAGTCGGAAAAACTGGTTTAAACTACGAGGCTTTGAATTTTTTTCATTTTGTGCGAAAAATTTCCAGTTTTCAATAGGGTAAGTGACAAAAACTCAAGTCTCATCAAGTAGGTGCTGGAATGTTCTTTTTAGAGGTTTTTCCAAAGCTTCTTCAATTAGGAAAACCGATTTTAAATATGAGGCTAAGTTTTTTCCATTTTGTACCAAAAATTTCCAGTTTTCCAATGGGGAAGTGACTAAAACTCAAGTTTCATCAAGTAGGCTTTGGAATGTCCTTTTCAGAAGTTTTTCTTTGAATTTTTCGCTTTTCCAGGGCTTTTTCGGTCGGGAAAACCGATTTAAAGTACGAGTTTTCTTCATTTTCTAGCACAAATTTATATTTTTAAATACAATAATTAGGAAAATCCCATTTTAAATGCTTTTTCTGGAAGTTTTGATGTGGCAACATCGTTTGTAGCCAACTTCAATCATGTAAACCTTGTAATAAATGTCATTTGTCAATTTGGAAAGTCGGCCATTTTGAGTGTTTTTATCCATATTTTTCCTCGAAATTTCCACTTTTCCAGGCCGTTTTAAAACGGAAAAAATGGTTTAAAGTACGAGGCTTTGAGTTTCCTCTATTTTGTGCCAAACATTTTCAGTTTTCCGATGAGGTAAGTGACAAAAACTCAAGTTTTATCAAGTAGGCTTTGGAATGTCCTTTTCAAAGGATTTTCTTTGGATTTTCTGCTTTTCCAGGGCTTTTTGGATCGGGAAAACCGATTTTAAGTACGAGGCTTTGAGTTTTCTTCATTATGTGCCAAAAAATTTCAGTTTTCCAATGGCCGGGGTAAGTGACAAAAACGCAAGTTTCATCAAGTAGGCTTTAGAATGTCCTTTTCAGAGGTTTTTCTTTGGATTTTTTGCTTTTCCAGGCCGGGAAAACCGATTTAAAGTACGAGGCTTTGAATTTTCTTCATTTTCAGCTAGAAATTTTCAGTTTTAAATTAAAATTAAGAAGGCAAAAAAAAATCCGTAAAAAATAACTTTTTAGGGAATTTATATATATTTTTTTTCAGGTGGCAACACTGCATTGTAGTCAACTTTACTCGGGTTCCAATTCGGTAGGTCATGGAATGTTATTTCTAAAGTGACATTTGAGAAAAAAGTATGGTCACCCCCACCCTATTATAGGCTGGCACATTTTTACTGAATCTGGTACAATTTGTCTTTAATTTTGATACAAAAAATTTTTGCTCTCTGACAACACTGATTCAGCATACTTCCGGATATATTCAGAAAAAACTGAAATTTTGCAAAAAAGTGATATTAAAAAAAAAATGTCACTTTATTGTAGCCACTTTTTCTCCCCTAAAAGATGCTAGCTTCAAATTTAAAATCTGACGTTTCGTCTTTGGGCAACCATCATCAACTTCATTTTTCTAAATACGAACCCATATTTTTTAAATTAGATTTTATAAGTTTCTGACATCCCAAAACCAATGACATTCCAAAACCAATTCGAAAAATTTATATTATATTGGCACTTCTCCTAAGGACTAAATGTGTTGGAGAAAGACAGAAAAGAAAATTTTGGTAGGAAATTAATAAAAAGGTTTTAGAACATCAGAAGCTTTAAAAATCTGAAATAAAAAACCAGGGTCGTGTTTAAAAAAATTAAGTTAATGATGGTGGCCCAAAGACGAAACATTTTAAATTTGATGGTAGCATCTTGTAGGAAAAAAAAAGTGGCTATGATGGAGTGATATTTTTTTCGAAATATCACTTCAAATAAAGTTAGGAAAAAATAAAAACAATTTTGCAAAATTTCGGTTTTTCCGGATATCTCCGGAAGTATTTGGAATATCTTAAATATCAAAGCCGCATTTTGTTAAGCATCAAATTACGCATCTTTGCCTCACTTTAACCAACCCTGTATCTCTCACCGTTTCCGAAATCCCAATCCGTGTTGCCAGATCTCACGATTATTCGTAAGATTACACGATTTTGGTCAGAATTTCACGATCTCATGAATGAGGTAGCAAATCTCACGAATTTTCTCTGTAGTAATACAAATCAGTAATCAAATATAATGTAATCGGAAATACTCGAAATAAAAATCTACTATATACAATATTTAGTTATGTTACGCCGCTCCTGATACATGCGCGCTCAAGAACACTTTACCTAATAGCACGGCATATACAAAAACAATCAGCAGGCTAACTTGAGCTTTGTATCCCAAAATGGCGGCGTGCGTGATGAGATGGGCGTTAAATCTCGTTGTTTTGCCATTTAAAGATAGGCTGTATCCTCGAATGGCGGCGTGCGCAGAAGAGATGTGCGTGAGAGTTAACCTGCTGTTTGTTTTTGTATATCCTGTGCTAATAGGACTGTTTATTGAGCTGAAAGTGTCTGCGAAGTCCACAAGACCCCACTATTTGTGACGTCAGCTGCAGACCTCAACTCTTGGCAGAAAATGCATTTTTTTAGTCCAAAAAAACGAATTTATAAACGTTGAAATCGCCTTTTCCTAATTTAAAACTCCCAATAAAATTAACTCACAAGCACAGCTTGAATCGCAAGCTATCCATCGAGGTCTGCGGGTGACGTTACTACTATCAGTTGCTGATAGAAGTGACGTCACTCGCAGACCAGCTGCCGACTCGAGAATTGGCGAACGTACGCTTTTTTAGGATAAGCAATCCTGCGGATAATGAAAACGAGGTCCAGCTCTCAGAAACACCTACTAAAAAACGGAAAAAACAAGAATACAAAATTTAATAATAAAATTTCAATATCTTATGGATGTAAAATCATGTCTACTCTATCAAAAATCTATAGAAGAACATTGTGCATTATTTTCTTACAAGCAATTTTAGGTCTCACGATTTCTCACGATTTTTTTTTATCGATTCTCACGAATTTTTTTCTCGAAACACCCTGTACATTGTTCATTGCTTACGTTGTTACACAGATAACAATTTAATAACCTCAACTTTAAGATATGACATTTCGTTCTTGTCGCCCGATGCCGCCGGTGTAGATTGTTCGTTCTCGAAGCCGTGCTGTGTTGCCAGATTGGAAAAACTAACCACGTCACAAATTTTTATTTTCATGCAAGGGCGGGGCTGAGGGGAAATTTCAAAAAAAAACAAGTGTTTTGCGGCTAGATTGTCATTGGAAGAAATAATTGGCAAGGTAACTACTAGTACTAGTTTGAGCTAATTATTGGGAACAATCAGTGAAGTTTTATTGATACTAGAATAATGAATTACTATGTGCCTCGGTCTAACTAAAATCTCTCGACAGTAATGAAACACTTTCCTCCTCGGTATGCTGGCTTTGACATTGAAAAACAAGCTAACAAGCAGATTTTCTGGAAGATTCTAGAAGCTTCTAAGGAATTCCCTTGGAAATCGTAAGTGATACAAGAATAGGGGCTTTATCACTGGCCGCGCCATCAGAAAAACAAGTCTATAAAGTAATTTTTCTAGAACATTCTATACTGTTCTATAGTCGGAAATTTGAATTCGCCACAAAACTTTAGATTCAAAAATCAGGTTTCAAGTAAGAAAATAATATAATACACGACAGCAAACAGCCAAAATGGAGAGGGTTGATCAAATCTTAAGGATTTTATGAAAAATTTGGCCAAGTGACAAGAAGAGGAAGACCGAAGACAAAAAGAGAATTAAGAAGTGGAAGAACGAAGATAGAGAAATAAACAAGAACAACAGGACTGGCTTGCACCACTTTTGCAACAACAAAAAGACCAAAGAAAGAAAGAAAAACAAGAGGACAGGAAGAACACGATCAATTTGCAGCACTTTTACACCAACAAGAAGATCCAAGATAGAAAGAACAAAAAGCAGGCTGAATACAGAAAGAAAAACAAAAACATCAGGACCTGCTCCAGGAAAATTTCGTATTTAAGCGTGAATGAATGCAAACTGTGAGTACAAGATATTTAGTTAATTCACGCATGCAATGGAAGAATTACCTGGACAAGTTGGAAATGTTCGTCACGAAAAAAAACTATTAGTCAAGAAATGGATAGTTTTGAGAAAAATGAAAAAATTGGAATGTGACTTGAGGTCAGGAAACGTCTCAGCCTCGGCTGCACCTGGTATTAAAGTTAAGCCACCACCATATGACGAACAGTCATCGTGGGCCATGTACAAACGTCAGTTCGAGACTGTTGCAATGGTGAAGAGTTGGAGCTCTGATGCCATCACTACAGGGTTGATTGTAGCATTATGTGGCCCTGCATTAGAAATATTTCAGACTCTTACACCAGCTTCTCCACAACACTATGGTGCGCTTGTCTGTGCGTTAGAGCGTCGTTATGGAGATCCGGTCGAAAACTTCATAAATGGACTTGGGGATATGGACGTACAGGAAATGCATAACAAAGATTAGAGCTGTATGAATACAAAAAGAAAAAGAGTCAATGAGAGAAAATAAAGGCATTATAATGAAGGAATTTCTGGAAGCATGAAATGTTATCGCTGCGGAAGAAGAAAACATTTTAGGCGTGACTGTAGAGTGCAACCGAGATTTCACTCTTTTTCTCCTAATGATTGTCAACCCTCGATTGAGTACTTGCAGCGCCAAGTATGCCCAGATCAAGAGAAGAACTGCTTCAGAATTGCTGAGCGAGAAAGCAGAGTTCATGCTAAAAGCTTTCGATTTGATGCAGATCAAAAACGCTGTTCTGAACAGCTAGGAAGTGATCAACTGGAATAGAGTGATCGCGACCTCGAATCATTAGGGAAGCCGTGGATAAATCAACAAAATCTAGGAAAGAAAAATTCGGCCAGCGAAGAAAGAAAGACCAGGAACTGGAAAATTAATGGATTACGACCACTGCTGATCTAGAAGGTCAAAATTATCCCTCATATGGCTGTTCTGCAAATTCCCATAACGATTAATGCTACGAGTGCTGCGTCCATCCACGAAGGCGCACGAGAGGTAGTTCGCAGAATGACAGTCAACAGGGAATAGAGTCATTCTTCTTTTGGGCCCAGCAGTTTGAGGCGCTGAGTTCAGGTCGCAGTTCACTAGACAGGCATAGAGATGTTAGGCAAGTAAATAGATGGAATGGATCTGATTTGCGAGGGAGGCAGTGTTACGAAATTGCCTTGACGTCTGGCCAGATTCTAGGAAATTCGTCTGGGAGCACGCTTTTTTGGGAATTCTATTATATTTGATAAATATGTTTTTTCTAGATAAATCCGGAGTACAATTTCGACTATAAAGAGCGCGTAGTAGTAGGTATTTAGTTAGTCTGGTTTAGTTTGAGAACGAGATTTATTGTATATGTTTCAAAAAGTGATAAATGAATTTTATATAAAGTCAATTGTTTAATTAAAGTTGTTACTGTTTGTGAAGTGAGTTTATAGTGAACCCGGCATTCGTCACAATATCAATCTCAATTGTTTACCTGGATAAACCTGTCCATTACTTCCACCGCATCCTCCACTACACCCAGACGCTGCTGGATAACCACTGTACCCTCCTGAGCCAGATGATCCACTGTGGAAACTTTGTGGCGGATAAATTCCTGAAAAAAGTATTTTGCATCAATTTTTGTTTTTTCAGGTAGGTATATGAAAAAAAAAAAAAAAAAACATTTTCAACAAATGTGTGAAATTAATTCAGTTTTGCTTCGAAAATCAACGCTTCATTCTTCTCCACAAGGCATACCAGCGATATTTTCAGCTTGAAATTCGCCCGTGAAAGCAGCGTTATTGATGTTGGGTTTTATTAGGCGTTTCCAAGATTGAGAAACGTCCTGGAACCGGAGGACCCTACCCCGCTCAAATCGTTCCCACGAAAATATTGAACAGAACTACCTACTTAAGAGTTCAATTAATCGAATTTAAGGCGCATACAAGAGAATTTAAAAACGATTCCAAATCAAGCCGAAATGTGTGTTGTTATTTCCTCTACCTCGCCATCGCTATCTTTTCTTGGGTTTCCAAATTTTCCTCTTGCTCTCTCTTGGTCGCCATTATAGACTAACTTCGAGCGTTCTGCAATACGCAACTCAGAGAGACTTTCGACGACATATGTAAAAACCGACAGTATAAAATGGTATTTCATCTGATCCTAAAATGAACCCGAGTACTGAGAACTAAATGCCGCTCAGCAAAGTCTTGTTCTTCGAGAAGTTTTGGAATTTCCATTTCGTTAGCCTAATCCAATTCAATTTAATGCTTTCAATATCAATCAATATCTATTCCTGATGTTTATTCAGAGACACAGAAAGTTCTACTCCATCTATCCGATTCGGCTTGAGATCAGCGTTGGTTTACACTGACTTCATTTTTTTTTTTTTCAATAGAACACCATTCTCCATCCACAAGTCTGCTGACTGAGTAGAGATCCAAACTATAGGCCTATAAGCTATCAGCACTATAGGTCTATAAAAGGCTGATCATCTTTTATCTTATAAGTTGAGGCTTTCATCGGTGATAAGTAGCCTGGTTTTTTTGCAAGTCGTAATACTGATGTGAACCTCGTTGCGCGCATAGATACCTTACAAGGCGCCTTGGAGGCAAGATCTGAAGTCTACTTCATCATATCGAATTTTCCAAGGCCTTTGACAGGGTTCGGATATTATTAAGTAGGTACCTAAAACCTGTGAAATTCCTGGATCAATTTTTCTAACTTTACGTTGCCTGTTCTCTCTCTTTCACGAAAGAAACAAAGTTCTATCATTTCAATAGTAGGTACCGGAAATACAAAATGATGTGATTTATTACCTAATCTATCAGAATAAAATTTGTTTTGCGAAATTTTTACCTGCACCTCCTCCACTGGAATATCCTCCTTGATAACCTGGCGACCCTCCCGAATAACTTGGCGATCCTCCTGAATAACCACCATGGCCACCTCCTCCTCCACCGCCAGTAAATATGTAGCCTGGTGATACCGAAGCCTGTATCACTCCGCCTTAAAAAAAAAAAAATGTTTGATACTTTTATATATTAAGCAGATTTTAACACAGAAGACACTATGGTCCAGAGCAATTAGGGGTCAGGGGTAAACAAATTAGCTTAAAGCTGCCACCACCATTATTCGATAGCGTTTGGGTTCCCTATGAGCATACTAGAAGTCCCCATTGCTGTGATTGGTGGAACATCCCCAAATCTGGTTTTTGATTTTTCGCACTTTTTCCTAGTTTGCTCCAATATCTTGGAAACAAATAGGAAATTTGAAAAATGTTCAAGAGAACTGGATATAAAATAGGTCTGAGCCCTACTCGACACATTCGTGGTTCATTTAAAAATTTCAGATTAGCTGAAATGTCGGATACCTAAGAAAAGTTCTTATTTCCAGGATGTAACTCTTCGAAAACTAGCCCGCGACCTTGCATTTTTAACCAAATTCTAGACGATTAAGATTATTTCCTAACCATTGTTGTATTTGGTAATACACTCTTAAGCAGTGACATTTTAAAGAGTCTGGGGAGCAGACAAACGGAGCTCCGATGCTGAACGATATTCCGAGTGGGGCTAGATTCACCAAAATGTTGCACCGATGTTGTGTAAAATGGTCCCGGGTTCAATTCTCGTTGAAGGCAATGCATTTTTTTTCAGATTTTTTTTTTCTTTAGGGTTTTTCTTTTTCTTTTGAAGAATATTAAGAGTACGGGTCAGTTTGGGTTAGCCATGTACTTTTTTAAAAACCTTTTTTTTTGGTTTAATTTATATTGCAACTTTGTAATTACATAAATCATTAATAAAATTTCTCATTTTAGAATCAATATGTACAGGGTAAATAAGGAATATCAAAAACGGGTATATAAGAATTTATATTGCCTCTGTTACAAAAATGAAATTCCGAAAAATGTGATTTTTTTTGAAAAATACAGTTTTCTTAGTATCTTGTATTACCCCCTCTTGCCCTTATCACAGCCTCCATTCGCCTTGGTAAGCCTTCAAACAACCTATGTATGTATTCTTGCTCCATATTGTTCCATATTTCGTTTATTGCATCATTAAGTTCATTAAGGGTTCTGAATGGAGCTTGACGGTGCTGGATCGCCCAACCTAAATGGTCCCATACGTGCTCTATCGGATTGAGGTGTGGGCTGCGAGCTGGCCAATTCAATGTAGCAAAATTCACCTCCTCAAGATATTCCCGCTTTATCCTGGCAACGTGCGGTCTGACGTTATCATGCATTAGCACAAAATTTTCGCCCATAAAAGGGCCGTATGGAACCACACGAGGTTCTAGGATATCCCTTATGTATCGATCAGCCAGCATCCTACCACCATTAACAGCTACTAACTCCGTTCGCCCATTAAAAGATATTCCTCCCCATACCATTATTGACCCACCTCCAAAACTTTCCCTTTCACGAAAGTTGCATTAGTGATATCGCTCGCCTGGTCTTCGGTATAGTGGCATACGTCTGTCTGAAGAGAACAAACAAAATCTGGATTCGTCTGTAAAGAGGATATTGGACCATTCTTCTAGACCTCATCCAGCATGGTCTCTAGCAAATTGTAAACGGCAAACCGAGCGGCAAACTCGATGTTCTCTGGTAAGACGCGGGCCATTGCCTAGAACCCGAGCTAGAACCCTTGCACGTATATCATGCTCTCGAAGACGATTACGTACGGTCTGTACGCAAATCTGAACATTTCGGGCTGCCAAAAGGTCATTTTGGAGCATTCGGGCAGTGCAGTGTCGTGTTCTTAGGACTGAAAGTCGTAAAAAACGATCATCTAGAGCTGTCGTAACTCTCGGACCACCTTGGCCTTCTCTTCTAGAGTACCGTGCAGTCTCCCTATGCCTTTGAACAACTCTTGAAATGATACTCTGCTGTACACCCAATAAATTCGCCACGTACCTTTGACTTCGCCCATCTTCAATCAGCGCAATTACTCTGACAGCCTCTTCATCGGTTAAATGGCGAGTTAAACGTTGTGGACCAGCCATAGTATACACCTCTATCGTACAACTTAATATTAAAGCAGAAAACATAGAAATGAACAGCATAATTGCAAAGTAGAATGTATGCCTATCCGCATTCTCCCAAAAAAAAGTAAATAGGTAAATAGGAACCTAACAAAAGAATAAACGACATTTTTTTGACTCGAGTTTATCAGTTAAAGAATGCCTATTCAAGGAATACCTACTTGAGAAATTTTAAAAATAAATTTACTGTAGCCAAAATATTTAAAAGCATTGGTGATGCGATAATTTTTGTGCGGTGTGTATTAACATAAATAGTTAACCGAAATGGCATAGGTGAGTGTATATAATATTTTCAATATTTGGAGATCTGCAGAGACTAGCACAGCTTAGGAATGTTGTTAAATTCCATCGATCTTACAGAAAAAACACATTTAGAAACTTTTTTGTCTCTGACAATTTTTGATAAACCTTACGGTGTTCGAGATATTAGCACATTTCTTATGGAAAAGTGATCTATGTGGAATTTTGCTGAATTTTTGATATTGTGTAGAGGAAGTCGTCCTTAACAAAAGTGGTCATTGCGCTAATGTTTAATCCCGAACAGTTTTGATGATATCCATTAAAACCTTTTTAAAAGTGATACCCTTCAGTATGACGTCATCAGTTAGCTCACAGCACCGAAAATTATCACTATCCTTTCCACTTTTGACTTTGACTATATTCTTCTCCTTTTAACATTAAGAAATAAAAAGAAACAACAGGTACAAATGAAATTGCTATATGACTGACATGACAGCTGCTTTTTTTTCAGGGGCTTGGGCGCCCCAGGACGCCATAGATCACGATTTTGAATCGGGGAGTCAAGCGTCCAAGGATGATATAATGATGATATACACTACTAGACTACTAGAGTTTGTATTCTCCTTGGGGGTTGCCTCAGCAAGGCGTCGAAGCTCTACAGCTCCAGTGTCCGAACTGTCACTAGTGTCAAATAATTATATGTCTCTTAATTACCGTTCTTTTCAGAGCGTGCGCTGATGCGCCCCAGGGCGTCGAAGCCCTGGGTTTCAAAGCTCTGAAAAGAAAGCACCTGACATAAAGTTGAAGATTGCGGCAGGAGCTAGGTGTTAAGGGCCCATAGCACCGTCTAGCATTTTTGACTAGCTAGGGAGTCGCACCGGTGTCACACTCACACCGGGTGTGTCATTCCTAGATTATACACTTGTTTATCTACTTATTTGTCACTAATCGCTATCGCTATCAAAGTTTTTAATTGATATCTTCAAAACTGTTCGGTATTAAACATTAGCGCAATGGTAACTTTTGTTAAGGCGACTTCCTCTACACAATATCAAAAAATCAGCAAAATTCCACATAGATCACTTTTCCATAAGAAATGTGCGGGGTTCTTTAATAAAAGAACGAAAAATCAAGATGGCGGGCTGGATTTGGTGATGTTCACCAATCACAGCGACGGGGACTTTCAGCATGTTCATAAGGACACTAAAAACTATCGAACACGAGTGGAGGCAGCTTTAGGCTAATTTGTTGAGGTCAAGCATATACCATTTCATAAGTGCACCGGAGTACTAGTCAGTAAGTCAGTATTGTGGCCCATCGCTCCTATGGATAAAACTGATGACTACATAGAATTCAAAATCGTTCAGATATCCTGTTTTTATTTCGATGTGGTTAGAAAGTATTGTTGGTAATCCTAATTTTGGATACAGTTTCTTCTTTCGCTATTAGAAAGACTCGTTTTGGTCTTTCTAGCCCCATTAGAGTGGCTAGTAATAGACTACATAATTTCCAATAGAAGGGATATATGCCAGGATGTATCTTTACCAAATATGGTATAGTTTAAACCATGGCAAGGTATTAAAATACATGCAAATTTCGAATCACGAATAGTTGGTATTAAACCTCTTATAAGTTATAAATAAGGGGCTTTATTGAAAAAAGGACTTGTTTGAGACACACAAAAAAACCCAAGAGAAGGAGAGGTAAGCTAAGTCCAAATTTAGTCTCCTGAGGAACTTGAATTGCGGGATCAGAGAAGTCAAGAAGGGCGTTTAAATAAAATGTCATCTACAGACCTTCACAAATTTCTGTTCAATTCCAAATTTAGACCACTTTTCAGTAAAATGAAGTTATGTTCATAACAATAATAGATTGGTGTAGTTGTTCTTCTATTTTTTGTTGCAAAATACGCAGTCTAAATAGTAGAATTATTGACAATTTTGTTGACAACACATGCAAATTTGGGTCATGGATTTAAATGAAAAAGGGAAGTCAAACGCGTAGGTAGTGCTTGTGTATTTGTATTCAGATGGATGAAATTTGCTATTAAAAATCTCAAATAAATTAATTTGTCGTAAATAAAGTAGAGTATACTACTCGCAATAATGGCTATTATTCCCTAAGAATGTTACTCCCTCGCCGCTAACGCGGCTCAATTCGTAAATATGCCTCGGGAATAATAGCTATCATTATTGACTCGTGGTATAATCTACTATTTGATTCCAAAATTAATCAAAATCTACCAAAAGTGCGAAACAAGCAGGTGATTGCTGTCATTTTTAGCAGAGACTCAAACCAAACGTGTGTTCAGCGCTTCTCTCAAAGATGTCGCTGAGTTCGGGATGGGTAGTCACTTCTTTCAAACGCCTGAAAAAACTATTAAAAACTAGCTAAAAATGTGAAATACTATTATTTCATTTGCATCTGAATAAAATTATTAGTCCACTGTAAATTACTGTGTTAACGAATTGACATTGAAGATGTCGCCATCTACTTGTAAAAAAGTCAATCACTTACAGAGAATTTGAATACCTGTGATTAAAAAATATTTAATGTATGACATAAAGCCCAAAAGATGGCGCGGGCTCCTATCTGACGCCCTACGCCACTCTTAAGCCGATGTGTTAATGAAAAAGTATGATACGGTAGGTACCTATTTTACCTTATCCCTGATTTTGAGAATCTTCACTTGAAGTGAAATAGACAAAAAGATTGATTCTTTTAGTTAGTTAACTATTTACTCAGGCTTTGAATAAAGGAACTTTTGTTGATTGGATAGAGAGCTCCCTAAGTCTGCATCAAAGTAACAACATGTTAGAATACTTGAAATTGAACATTACATATGACTTGAGCTGGACTGTTCTACAACTTTAGGATATACCAAGATAGCAAGCGTGCCTTCAATTAGTTCAATTCATCAAAAACAAAACTACTCCAGTAATCCAACTATCCAACCATAAATAGGCAATACGAATGAGCTTATGGTAATGTAGATTAGCAATTCTATTCCTTTAGGCAGTACCTAACTAAGAAGTATGAATGTACCCAACGATCTATCTTTGAACAAACTGCTAACACACTAGAAGGTACCTTATTTACCATAAATACGAACTCCAAATTCAACAAATTATTTTTAGATCATTTAAATTAAATTTACAATGAGCCGCAGAGATACTTGACAACAGTTGAAGCCTTGTGTCAAGCAAAAGCGAGCAACCTGGGGTGCGATTTTCGAGACCATTCGAGTACATTTCGTACACGAAATTTGTCTGCTCCCCATTCAATTTACATTGCTGTCAGTCAAATTTCGTGTACGAAATGTACTCGAATGGTTTCGAAAATCGCACCCCTGTGTTCTTTTATCGGAGTAAACTGAAAATGCTGGGCCCTACCAAGCCACCTTTAGTTTTGTACGAAGGCATAAGATATCTTCCTGATGACATATTTTTTCAATTCATATTTAAGCTCATTAGTGAGTTTAACTATTAATCTGATCATTACTGTCACTGAAAAGTTACTTAAGTACCTACCTTGTTTTGGAGGCGCAATAATTTTCCCGCCAACCTCGTTTGCGGAAATATGACTACCATCGGGACCGATTATATTCGCTTGTGAGCCGGGTCCTTGAATGGTAGCGCCGGGATCACTAGGTCCTACTATGGTAGCACTAAGACTACCTCCACCTATGTTTGCTCCACCTCCTGAGGAATATCCTCCGCTACTATCACCACAGCCGCTTGAACAGCCTCCTCCACCTCCATAGTGCCCATGGGCGTTGATGTTGGAGATGGTCATGAGAACGAAACAAAAAGAGAGGACCTGGAATATTTCAAATAATTTTTTTATATTACATAAAAGAAAATTGGGTATGGATATTTTGAAAAAATACCCGATTTCTCATAGACACATTTCGCATTCTATCAAAAGTATTGCAAAAAAACTTTGCCCGTGATTCTATAACAATTTAAGTATTTTAGTCATCGAATCAGTTGAGCTCGCTAATTAAATTGCTTTGTAAGATGTTTATGTAAGCGAGGCTTGAGTCTACTCTTCCAAAATAAATTCAGGTGCCTTTGTTGAAGACAATAATATAAAAATCATGGAAAACTATCACAACACTTATTTCAACTATAATCAAGCTTAATCAGAAACTAATTCTCCAATTAATAGATTCGAATATTCAAATGAAAATTGGGATGAAATAATTTACAAAAAACTAATTAAAAAAAATAACCACTGTTAGACTTCATAAATACTAGTTCAAAAAATAAAGATTTCTTTCATGAGGTGCTCATGTACAAGAAATTGAAAACACGAAGCAATATAATGAGTAGAATTTTGGCCAATAAATGTTCTTTGGGATATTGAATAGTTGATTGTAGATAAGGTATACGAACAAATCTTAGAAGATATTGGAAAAGTAAGTAAATTAAACAAACTTTTAATGTATGCATCGATTTGGTTTTAGAAGAGGACATTCAACTGAAACGGCCCTACATTATGTTATCGAAAATTGAAAATCTCATTTTGACTGCTGTTTTCTTGGATTTCAAGAAGGCTTTTAAAACAATACCCAGGCTCTACCATAAATTAAATTAAATTTACCATAAATGTCTAAGGCCCGGTTGTACCAAATAGAGGTGCAGTTGAACTCTACTGGTACTTCATCTCTTCCATATTCCAGCATTTAAAACGCCTTGATGTCAGTAATCTGCCAAAATTGTCGGTATATTTTTTGATAGCAACGCATTTCAAATGGGAAAGATCAAGTTCCAGTAGAGTTTGGTTGAACCACTGTTTGGTACAACCACTACAACCGGGCTTAATTATGGTTTGAAGGGTGGGTTAGGTTTTGAAACGGTTCAAAAATTATCAAATGGGTATTGAAATAAGATTTGATAATTTTTTTCTCTCGAAAATACTGGAAAAATATGTAAGAAAACCCCAAAATATAAGATACCGAAACTTCCTCAACAAAGTAAAGTAAGATAATTATTAAGCATTTATTTAGGAAGTATACGTTGTGAGGGTTGTTTTATTTAAATTATAAATATGAAAATTCAGAGCTGCAAGCTCTCAGAACACTCAAATCTTTTTTTTGATTTAAACCATTTTAATGACTTAAGTCATTTGATTTTAAGTCATTTCTTGGAAGCTGACTTAAGACTTAAAATTTAAGTCATATTCAAAATGATTTGTGACTTAAATGTTTTTTTTTTGAAAAAGAAAAAACTTCATTCAGTCATTATTTAAAAGTCTTAAATCAGTACATAAGATTTAAGTCATCTAGAAACGATTTAAGTTAAAAAATAGATTTAAGTCTTTATCTACAGTCTACAAATTATTTAAGTAATTTATAAAATATTTAGGTATTTTTAGAAAAGATTTTTCATATATTGATAAAATATTTAATCAAAAATGGATATTATTTTGGAAAAAAGTACTTAAATTGAATTCTCGTTTTCTTGACTTAAGTCAAATTTTTTTATTTCAGTCAGCTCATCATAATTTAAAATTTAAATCAAAAATACTTATAGACTTAAGTCATTAAAATGACTTACTGAAGGATTTAAGTCATAAAACAACTTAAACTACATTATACTGACTTAAGTCATTACGGAAATGACTTGAGAGAAAATACTTCAAGTCAAAGACTTAAGACTTAAATAATTCGAACTTTATGTTAGAATTGACTTAAGATTTAAATCATTTTGATTTTGAAATGACTTAAGACTTAAGATTTAAGTCTTTTTAAAATTGTTGCAGCTCTTTATGAAATAATAGCTAAGCTTTGAAATCTCCTTACCGAAATCCTCATTTTAACTAGAAATTTCACACACGCACTATTCACCAAAAACAATCTCAAGATGCTGCCTAGAGGAAGTCTTAAATTATTAACAACAATAAGTAATTACCATCAGATTTTATATCCCAATAATTATGATGACCTCGCTATACTAACCATTATGAGATGGAATATCCCTGAGTTACAGGGTGAATCACCTTTTTCAATCAAATCATAATTAGTAATAGGTATCAGTATTACCGGATTTTGAAAAGATCCGCTTTACTGTTTTGAGGCTGTTGATGGCTTGTTAATGATAAATTTTAAATTTAGAACAACTGATTTCGAGTTAAATTCAAAATATACCTTATTATAGAATTTGAGTTGGATCTCCTTGTTTTTCTGTGCCAACACCTTAAATATGATGTGTGTATGTAAAGTCATCATTGATGATGAATATTTCATTATGCAATTGGTAATTTTGCTTTATGTCGGAGATCAAGACAATACCGGAATGATATCATATGCATTTTTCAAAGATCAACATGCATTTATCATCATTAAGGATTCATTGGAATTTCATTTGATCATTTAAGTAGATCATAGATAGGTATAAAGTCATATTGTATTTTGATTGAATATTTTTGATATTACTTAAGCATATTTATCGACCATATTTTTCAAGACGTTTTGGATCATAAAATAAAAGGAAAGCAGAAAATCCTCGAAAAATATTGATATTTTATTATAATTTTTGGTCTTACCCAGATCTTATACATTTTTTTAAGCAGCACTTTCTACTTTACTGAGAAATTTACTATCAATGCGATTTTTATTCTTTCTAGGATAATTTATATTGCGAAACGATTCCAATTATTGTTATTAATTTGAGATAATTCAAAATTGATCAAAGGTTAGCCAGAAGATTAGACTATTAGACAGGGTCCTACTTTTTTCCTAAGAAGCCATAGTTTTTTAAATTGTAGATACATTGCAAACCCTGTTTTAAAGGTTTAAGAGCTGAAAATTCAAGTTAGTAGGTAGGTAGGTACCTACAATTATCACTTTAAGTCTTTTATAAAAATATATTTTCAACTTTCCTTGTAACAAGTGGAAATGACACAGTTTGTCTCTCAAAACTTCAGTATCGCAATTCTTGATTGCAAAAATGAAAATAATAGTGTTAGTTAATTCTTTAAAACTCCCTCAATAGGTATCAAACGATCTTGAAAATGTGATCATCATTATTGGTTTGAAACTCGTTAACGAGCATCATAAGTCTTTTTACAGATTTATTGTTATCTATGGATTCTTGGATGTTTTAGCTTATTATGGGCTCACGTTGATTGCAAATCTAGCTAGCGTTAGCCGTTTACTGCTTGTTCTTGTCTACAACGTAAACAGCTCAACAGGGATTGACAGGGACTTACCCCAACAACCTAATTAGCTATCTATTCATCTTTTCAACAACCTCTCCTGGGAAGAAACACCACTCTAATGGTTTTGAATGCGTTATTGAGGAACTTTGTTGAATAACGTTACTATCTAGTCAAAGCTAATTCAAGCCAGATCTTGAAGAAGCTAAGTTCTATTTTTAGATTTTTAGGGTTTGGACCTTTCATAAAGGGACCATATACCATGTATCGCTTTTGTGGCGCTAAAGAAGACTTTGAAGTTAGAAGCTACAACTACTCTTCCGATTAATTTCATTATCCGCTCTCCGGTTTCTAGCATTCTTGTTCTTCTTGTACATCAGCTATGGCTTGGAGATTTTTGCTTTTCGTGATCTAAATTTATGCCGCTTTGCCAATTAAAGTATTCACCTATTAGGTTTTGTTCTAAGCTATACCTGGTGAAGCTTACATCAGTGTTGATCCCCATAAGAAATCATTATTTCAAAATATTTTTTTGGCATTGCAGTAAGGACAAATTCTAATTCTTCATCTCCTTCGTCGTCCCGAAAAAGCTCCATTTCAAGGTAGACAATAATTTTATTAATGCTTTGATCTTCAAAGCTTCTTTGTTTCAAAAAAAAATTCGAATAAGACATAATTGTCTGGCTAGCCAAACGGCGAACTACAATAGAATTTGCTGCTTTACCAAACTTGACGGAAACAGTAATAAACAAGTTGGTGACATATTTTATTTTGCTATATGGGCATATGTAGTATTTTGAAATAGCAAAAAATCCGGCACCATTGCGAAATGATGGATGTGGAGAGGCGTGATTATTCAGAGGCATAATTCTATTGGTTAGAGCCTAAGGTTAGATCCTGAACGACAGCACAGTGGCGTGGTTATTCGCGAAATTCAAAAAAAAATCTAATAATTCTATTCGTTCATTTCCTTGGTGTTTTCGGTGCCACTGAACCCAAAGAAATGGCTGTCATCAAGCGGTGTCAGTTGTCAACTTACCACTTGCCAGACTATAAAACCATCACTAAAAAACACACATAATCTCAAAATGATACTTGAGCTGAATAAATTCTACGGCTTGCTTTAAACACAGGTAAACGCCACTTACGTTGATATTCGCCACCCTTGCAAACTAAACTATAGATAGAGACGTGTAAAGACGAACCCGTGCACATGGGCATAAGGGAGAAGCTGAGACCCTGATCTCAGATCAAATTTCAACTTCTTAATTGTGCTCTGGACACGATCCATATCGGAAATGTTCAACTTCTCCACATATTGCTTCATTGCATTCTGGACTAGATTCTGGATATTGTTACTGATTCCGGGTCTACTAAAACTCACTTCACAAACAACTTTTATTGAATAAAATTGACTTTACAAAAATGTACTTAACATCACATGTGAGAGGTCTGAGAACAAAGACTGAAGAATTTTACACAAATGTAATGTCTAAAGATTTTGATGTGATTGCATTGACTGAGTCGTGGCTGTGTGATGGTATACATGATGCTGAAATATTTGACCCTAGATACAATGTGATAAGAAGAGATCGTATTGGAAACACCAGAAGAGGGGGTGTAGTCTTGGCCCTGAAGAAAAATATCAGGCATGAAATTATCAGTATCACCATGGATGTTGAATGTGTTTTAGTAAAAATTAAAAATAAGAATAACTTTTTATATTTGTCTGTGATTTATTTACCACCAAATTGTGATACAGGTAGGGTAGAAAACTTTTTTAACTTTTTTGAGAGGCTAGATGTGGTAAATAGTAATTTTCTAATAATGGGTGATTTTAATATGCCAAATTATGAAAATTGTAGCACTGAAAAAAGTCTATTGTTGGCAGAATTTTTAAACTTATATGATTTATGCCATGGTTAAAAATTGTATGAATAGAGTCTTGGATTTGGTTCTCACCTGATATTGATATTTCAGATATATGTAGATGCGACAGCCAGTTAGTTAAGGAAGATAATTATCATCCTCCACTACAGTTTTATCTAACATACAGGAGTTCTGATGTTGGAGATAAATTTATGAACAAGTCATATACCTATGACTTTCCTAAAGGTAACTTTTTAAATCTATATACAGGATCATGTGACTGGTTGGATGTTCTGGCATGTGAAGATGTTGATATTTGTCTTAAGTATTTTTATGATACCTTTATACTTGTTTAGATATGTCAATTCCAAAGATGGTAGCCAAAGAGTCTTCAGGTGCCCCAAAGTTTCCTACTTGGTACTCCATTGGGTTGGTACGTAATATTAGAGAAAAGAATCGTTTACATAAAGCTCTACGAAAAAATAAACTAACCTCAGCTGATCAACTTAAATACAATATTCTGAGAAAAAACATCAAGTCACAAATAAAATCTGAACATAAAAACTATTTAACTAATATTGAAGCAAACATAAATGCAGATCCAACATCTTTCTGGGGGTTTTTCAAAAATAAAAAAGATCATAATGGAGTGCCAGGGGAAATGGTGCTTGATGATAAAAACTTTTCGAATGCTTCTCATATTGCTAATGCTTTTTCAGAGTACTTTCAGTCCGTGTATGAAACATCAAGTGAGCCTGTAACTTACAGGTCTAGTACGGGGGCTACTTTGTTTAATTTCTCTGTTATAACAGCAGGGGATGTTATCAATAGTATTAAAAAATTAAAACCAAAGAAATCTTCAGGTAACGACCAGATTCCAACCTATATTTATAAGGGACTAGCTGAATATTTGGCAGAACCCCTGGCATTTATTTTCAACCTTGCTCTCGAACAAAATAAGTTTCCGGATGCCTTGAAGCTAGGCGTTATCACACCTGTATATAAGGGTGGCAGCAGAAATGATATTCGCAATTATAGACCTATTTCTATATTAAATGTTTTGAGTAAAATAGTCGAGATTATTCTTCGCGATGATCTCAATAATTCTCTGCAACAAAAAATTTCTTGTTTTCAACATGGGTTTGTTGCAGATAGGTCGACTGTATCCAGTGACGCTTTAACCTTTCTCTGGCCCGTAGGTCAATTATTTGGTATGGCCTTTCGTGAGTGATTGTTCTTTTTTATGGGGTTAAATAAAATCATTCAGACGATTTCAAACTACTAATCTGGCAGAATATGAAGACAAAAAATGTTGCCAAGTAGTATTCGGTAAAATCAAAGAAAGGTACTACAAAATGATGGAACACGAATGGTCACAAAACATGCTATATGGTAGGAACGTCCTAAAAGAAAATGATGGGATTGAGCTCCCAGCCTATTAATCACCACATATGGATGCTGGGAACTAAGTGTACTGATGGGTGCTTCGGAAGAACAGCTGCATGGCTTGGGATCAAATTAACCCTGCCATACGTCCCGTATTATACGGGACAGTCCCTTATTCCGAGGTCCATGTCCCGCGTCCCCAAATTTGTTGTCGGGACGCGTAAATGTCCCGTATTCTCTGATATTTCAAAAAGCGTGAAATAGGTAATTCGATTTTGCCCCTCATTCCCTCATCTCTAGTCTCAGCAAATCGCAACGTGCTGGTTATTCGACAGCATTTAACATTAAGTTAAGAATTTGGCGAATTCGGCCCAAGGGTAATAATCACCACTAAGGATTGCTTTATTGCTTATCGGCCTCATTTTTGGTAATGGCCACCATATTGGTGTATCACCATTGCCGACGTCATCAACTAAGTCGTCAGCGACGTCAGCTGTTTGCGCCAGCAGTCGTAGTTTAGAATTTAAATCTGTGATGAAAAATATTTAATTTTGATTAACATAATAGGCAAATAGGAAGATACAAACGAGATCTGAAAAATAGTTGTTTTAAAATGTTAATTAATGTAGTAAAACCAACTATGCATAAAGTAAAAGCGTTGATTCCTGTGGTGCAAACAGCCTAGGTCAAGGCGAGAAACGACATGCTGTCTACGTCACAGATGGTAATTTGGTGGGGTAGGGGCATTGAGGTAGTATATAGGGGAGGAGGCGACGTCACCTGACAAAAAGTGGTAGCGGGTCTGCCATACTAGTGCTGGTTTTGTGTCATTACTTACCTATTGACATTACAACTGTCATACTCAATTTCTGATTTCGAGACGTAATAAAGTTTGTTTCGCCAGGATTTGTACTTGCCACCAGCATTTGCCTTCCTTGTTTAACAAATCAAAATTGACTGAAACAAATCAATGACGTCAAAAACGTTCGTCGGTTCTTAAATCATTTTAATTTGTCAAAAAAATTAGGCAATTCAATCCATCTGTCAGATAGGGAAATTCAATATGGCGTGGCGGCCAAGCAAGTTTGTTTTGAATGTGTTTTTATGCGTATTTCAAATTATTTTGCTTAGAGTTTTGCTTGCAACTTTGATTTGGACTATTTAATAAAATATTTGTTGACTAGGTACCTAAACTAA